GGATGTATTGATTTTTTAGTTGAACATGTCGAATTACAATGAGTAATGCCTGTTTCATGATTGTACTAGTCGTTGAAAACGTCAAAGGGAAAGTTCCGATTACGTGCATTAACAATATTACAAAAACGTATAGAATTTATAGTAGTTTCATTGTCACCAGAATTTACTTTGTCCTGCAATACCGAGAATGTATATGATTCATAATACTAATACGCAGAATTACTTAATTAGAGGAGGGGAAAAATGAGGTGCGAATTAAGAATGCAGGTGCGAAATTCCACCCAAGGATAAAGCCAGAGAAAAATCTTATCGGACGCGGTTCTTATCTTCAGCTGAGATCAAGCTATCATTAATCACCCCGTTGAAAAATGCTTCCTTTACTCACCTCATCGCCTTCGCCTACAGTAGCCTGGATTTATAGAGCTGTTAGCTTCCAGACCTTTTAACATGTATAATACATAATACCTTTTAACCTAGTGATACTACCTCATAGACATATGTGAATATAATATATGTACATAATATATAATATATATATATATATATATATAATATATATCATCTATATATATATTTAACTAACTAACACACATATATATATATTATATAATCATATTCAATATAAGTGTCACACACACACCCACACACACAGCACACACACACACACACACAACACACACACACATATAATCCATACATATATTAATATATATATATATATAAGTACTGTGAATATATATATATGTGCGTGTGTGTGTGTTGTGTGTGTGTCTGTGTGTTGTGTGTGTGTGTGTGTGTGTGTGTGTGTGTGTGTGTGTATACGTATATATACATACAATATTATATATTATATATAGTATATATATATATATTATATATGTTTATTTACATACATACATACATACATATATTATTTACTACATACCATACATCATACATACATAATACATATATATATATATATATATATATTATATATATATATATGAGGCCATATTAATATCTTCAGGAAACTCAATCTATGAGGAACAAAATATCTTTTAGTTGTTTACAAATAGAAATTGACGTTGAATTCAGTCAAGATTGCACGCCCCGGCACCCCAAGGGGATCTCCGCGAAAACAGCAAGGTCAACCGTGAGGGCTACATGAGGGCGAGAGAAAAAGGCAGTGATATATGGCCATACCTCGAGATCCACCCGGGTTATCGCTGATCACATAATACACGTTTCTTTAATCTTTAACCTATTAATCAGGCTATTAACAAAAGGAAACGTTCTATCTCTAGCGAGGATCTCCTTTTCATGATCGGAATAAATTAGACAGACGCTGCTAGGGGAACATTCTGAGGTGGGTGTCTTGCCTCGCGTGGTGGGCCGCCATGTGCATGCGAGAGAGGAAACACCAGTCCCGCCGCACCAACGTAAATATTCTTTCCTCTTTTCTCATGTCGGCGTTTCCTCCCGTGCTTTTACATCATTCGGCTGATGGAGCCCGAGAGCGTCTGGCTTGGACAGCTAGCTTTCGAAGCGATCAGATCGACAAGCAGTTAGTAAATGCTAAAGTATTAATGAGATAAAATGTCTAGCCGGCATCTCGGATCGGGTGGTTTTATGGCCCCCGCGCCTGTCATAAAAGCTGCGTCCGATACCGCCAAAGTTGACCAATAGTGAAACACCTGAACCACTTATAACCAATCCACGCCCACCTGCCTCCCATTTAACCAATCAGCGCCCATTATGAAGCCGTTTGACCAATCCGCGCCTCGGCCGTTCTCCCGTAGACCAATAAGAGGAGCGCTGCTGAGTCGTCAGCGCCGTAGGCCATCGCATTCTTACCTGCTGTTTTTATGTGAATAGAAGACACATGGCATGAGAATTCTTTTTATCGAGTTCTTCTGCTTGAAACAAATTCCTCCTAACAATTGCCACGTCGGGACTTTGAAACGCACACGCGTAGAATTAATTAACATGGAAGAAATATAGAACATCCTTTGATAAGACCTTAGCAGATGTAGAATTATTCCTCGGCTGTAGGCAAGCCACAATTCCTTTCACGTTTTATGACGACTTCTGAGTAACTAACACTGATGGACTGGTACAACGCATGGGAACTTCCTTCTGTCACGTTATTTATTACATCGCATAACAAAAACAGCTGTCATTAAGCTAGAACAAACTATACATATGGGATAAGAAATGGTATTTTTACGACTCTGTGATCATGTTTGACGCTCTAATCGCCACGCAAGGAAATACTACTAAATCAGCCCTTTTTTTCTTTTTGTTGGTGAATAAACACGTCTCTTGTGCGGTTAAATAGCAGACTAGTAATCAATTTACTTCATACTGTAGAGGACTAGAATATAAACTACAAAAAACAACTTCCGTCAAAATGTTGAGGTTAAACACTTACTTGTAATCTTGGAGCGATGTAGAATTCTTTGATGACGTTTGGTTGACGTAACATTTTATACTTTTTCACGGTCATTAGATAGCCTATAATGATTCTGATGCGCTCTCGTCACGGTGAGATAGAAATAACGGATGATGATGTCTTTTTCTATTGGTCATTAGGTCAGTACTGCATCACATCTCGCCTCATTAAACTTATTGATATACTAGAACGGCATCTTGTACCCCTACGCAATATATAGAAATGAAATAATAAATAAATAAATAAGGAACCATAAAATACACACAAAAATCATCCACATACTTGAAACAAAGCAGAACACACCGATACCATTCCAATCCCAGTTTCGAAGCGGTCTCGTTCAAATGTCTTCGAAACAGTCATTACCGGAGTTAATACCAAGGTACGAAAGGGCGAGGCGTCGAGGCGTGGGAATGTTCAGATAGTTTGAAATGGGTTGTTTTTCGGTCATTTGGTGACGGAGAGTGAAGGATGTGAGACGAGAAAGAGAGAAAGAGAGGTGGAAGGGGAGGAGGGAGAGAGGGGAGGGGTGGGGGGGGACACCACCTGCGTAACGAACCCAATAATATTATCCTCTTATCAACGTTATCGAAAGCCGACAGCAGCGCTTCCAGACTTTTTTTTTGTTTTTTTTTTTGCTTTCGGATAACACGAAATTTGAGAGCGAGATTTGTCCCATTTGTTTTAGTATTTTTTAGGCCATACAACGCAACGAACATAACAATACTCCACAAGGAACATTTAATGAACTGTTCCATTCACCCGAGTACGGACGTTTATCAAATCACCCGAGTGTAACAAAGATTAGAGAGGTTGGTCCTTTGGCTGACAGCGGTTGTCACCTTCTCAGGATTTGCCTTATCACGGCGGAACCTTTTTGATGTTAGCTTTATCAGTCCACACAATATATCGTACTCTCTCGCCACCATACCACGCTCCCTCTCTCCGTTCTACCTTCGCCGCTGTCAAATGAGATAATTTTTTTTCGTTGCTGCAGTTTATAGTGCACTTGCAACGCACCGTCGATGCTACTCACAACGTCGTCTTCGTTGTTCGTTTTTAACTTGAATTCCTAAAGTTTGTTTTGTTATTATCAGTCGTCTTTTGTCTCAGTCATCTTGGCGTCCATTGCCTCCTTTCCTTTTTCACAAAGAAAGTAAAGCTAAAAACGTTGATGATAATGATGTAAACGGTAATGACATTACTGATGATAATGAGGATTGATTATGATAACGATAATGATAATAATTATAATATTACTGATGACAATAATGATTATAATGACGTGGATAATAAAGATAATGATAACAATAAGGATGATAATAAGGATAATAATATTGAGAATGATACTGATAACAATAATAATAATAATAATAATGATAATATAATAATAATGACAAAAGTAATAATAATAGTGATAACAATAACAATAATTGTAACACCAGCAACAAGAATCATAATAACAATGTACGATGACATAAAAATGAAATAAAATCAGTGCCTGACAATCTAGCCCCTGCATGCGTTTCTCTCAGGGTCATCAGTCGTGTTATTAATCCCCGTTATCAGCCATTATCACTAGATCCATCTTAATCCGTCTCCATCTGTCAGGAGGAAGCTACTCGTTCTGCTGCGAGGTTTCAGTCACAACCCTCCGGCATTCCCTATCTTATCTTTCTTATCGTTTAAAAAGGGTTGAAGGTGTGACGTTTTGGGTTTCCCACTTCTGCACCGGGCAACGGGAAGCTTTTGTGGGTGCTGGTGATTTTTCTTGTCCTTTTTTTTAATCAAATTATTTGTTTTTGTGACATGACTGCTTGATATAGCATGTAAGGGAATCACTTTTTTTGTAACATATTACGGTAATTTTTATGTGGTATGAAAACTATATAAAGGAATCAGAATAATTTTTTTGAAAACTTTTTACGATAATTTTGATAAATGGCGTGAAAACGATATATAGGAATAAATTTTTTTGGAAAACCTTTTACGGGAATTTTGATAAATAGTATGAAAACTGTTATTGCGTTTATGTTCAAGATTATGCTATTATGCTCGCCATCATCGTCCTTTTTGTTCACTGATGCTATCATTATAATTTTTTTCCTGTGCAATAATGGAGTATTTTTTTTTTTATAGCAAACAGTAATGTTACCCACACATGTAACAAGTTACAAAATGCAATTACGTCACCGTTTTACAGCGACACACTAACGATTTTTTTTTACACAATCAGTAATATATTCCAGGCATCAGATAAGATAACATAAGTATTTACGTACATGCAGAGTTTAAGAGTAACGTACACATGATATGTACAGAGTATATGCACAGAGAAGAGGAAGGAATAGTTAGTACACACACGGGCGCACACACACACATACACAATATTTATTCACTTATATATGGGCAAGGAGAAATACCATAGAAATACCATTGCAAGAAAAAAAATCCCAATACATGATTAACATCCTATACCATTAGCATCAGTCATGAATTAGAATTTAAATACCTAAATTACCAAAAGCTAAACTCAAACTTTACTAAACAATATTCCTTCTTTCAG